TATGCTATTAGAGACAAAATGTGCTAATCAATTCCTTTCATTTACCAGCTAGAATTAGCCTCAGGAAGACCTTCTGTTCTTTAAGGTGTACTTAACTCATGGAAAATTTGATAAGCCAGATTTTGTGAGATCCCAAATTTTTGTCATTATTTAACATGCATGGTCCAGGGTAGTGATTTTTCTTTTTACTATCACTTATAATAAGAATATTACATGTACATGTATATGTATGCAAGATCTATCAAGAATAATTGTGTTTGCATATATGTGTATTTCAAAGTTTCATGAAAAGTAATGAAAAAAGAATGATGGAAAGAATGGTCAGAGGGAGAAAGAAAGGAACAAAAAGAGGGATGATATCTATGCCCAAAACATCTTCTCAGAGGCTTTCTACACAAAACATTGTTACACTTTCCTGTGTGTGATCCCTTTTGATATACTCTATATCTAGTCTGTTCTTTATATTTTATTAAAACAATAACAAAATGTCAGTTCTCACCCATAAAGAGCCTTTCGATTGTTCTTATAGCCTCTGGAATAATGCTGTTTTAAGCAAACCAATTTTCATCTGCTCCCCTGACATGATACTGGCTAGCACCTGTGGTTTGAGGTACTACCTCAAACCTGTATCATGGTTTACCCCATGATACAGGAGAATTCTCATTGAACCTAAGCATTTCAGGAATTACTAAACTTTTTAAAAAGTCCCCTCCAATAAATACATACTGCCACTATGTTCAACTGTGACTACAGATTTAATCCAACTCGATGGCATGCCTCTCCCTTCCAGTGTGAAAAGTGCTTACATCTAAATTTAGATCCATAAAAGAACACATCTCTATATTAGGCTTAATCAGAATTAAAACCTTTTGGTATGTGAAATACATAGATAAAAATAAAACTGCAATCTACACATTGAGAGAAAATATTTGCAAGTCACATATCTGACACATGAATTGTTTTCTAAATAAAAAACGAACTCTAAACTCAACAATAAAAAACAAAGAGTACAAATAGAAAATGGCATAAGATTTAAGCACATGCTTTACCAAATACAACATATGGATGCCAAATGAGCAGATGAAAAAAATGTTAAACATTATTATGCTTTAAGGAAATGTAAATTTAAACCACTGTGAAATGCCATTAAATACCTATTAGAATGCCTTCAAAAACTGGTAGAAATACCATGTTCTGCTGAGTATATGGAGCAGGTGGATTTCTCATACATTATTTTCAGAATATAAAATGGCCTGGGTCCTCTGAAAAATCATTTGCAAGTTTCCAGTAAAGTGAAAATGCACTTATTTTTCATAGGTCACTACTGAATATTTTTCTAGAGAAGGAACAACATCATGATCACACAAAGAAAACTGCATATGTGTATTCATAGATACTTTATTTGTAAAGGCCAAAAAGTAAAAAATAAAAAAGCTGGAATAAAACCAAATGTGCTTCAATTAGTGAATGAATAAAAGACTATGGTTCATATAAAAACACCATGCCATATAGAAAAGAATATAATAGAAATAGAAAACCAATGCAACAATCTAGTCAGTCTCTAATTCATTGTGCTGAATGAAAAAAAGGAAATTAGAGAAATCAACCATATTTACTGTATAATTCCATTTACCAAAAATTCTCAGAGGACAAAATTATATATGTATAAGTATTGCTGTGTTTTCCACAGTCTTCCCATCCTAATTTTAATTTTAATGCATTTGAAATGTTGACTTATTCTTTTGGGATATTTTCATGCTCTAATAATTTAGATTTACTTATGAATTATACAATTTCTACTTTTAATGAAATGGAGTAACAAGGACTGGATTTCCCACCTGTGTGAAATAACTAAATATAGGATACATGGATTGGCAGATATTCTGTGATAACAGGTAACACAGGAGTCCAGGCTGCTTCTTGAATCTCCATCTTATAAACACATGATCTCCATGTGTGCTGTGGAATTGAAACAAAGCATGGAAGGTGGCAAACTGGACATCAAATATCTTGGCTTGATATCTTGGAAATGAGATTGTTTTGACTCACATATCAATGTCAAGGGGGTAGTCAAGTGATCCTTTATAACTATAGGTACCCTTGGAACTTAGTCTTGCCATAAGCCCAAGAAGGAGAGGAAGATAAGATACAGGTGAACATTTAGTTTTTCCCAAATATTGTTACATAGTAGGTGCTCAATGGATAGCAGTTGTTAGAATTTTTATAGGAATCACCCTTTTTGTTTCCTGGCACAGTCAAATTTCCTTGAAATTCTCTGACATTTTTTAAGATTCTACTATGTTGTATCCTACTATGTTACACAGACAGCTCCAGACAGTTTCATAACAAGTTTTCAAAAGGACTCCAAGTACTGAGATTTTGCCTTCTTGATTCAATTTTTCCTTTTTGCACTTACCTATGCAATAAAATCTAAAATCTTAATAGAATGAAAATTTCCATCTTCCTATAGATACATAGTCAAAATCTCTGAATTTCCACTACCTTCAAAATGAATATAACCAAAAAGTTGTACAAGTGCCAGTAGAAAAAAATGGGAAAAAAAACAGTGCTTGCCCCAGGAAAAAATCCTAAGACTAAAGGCAGTGGAAGGATGTTGAATAATTTTTAGTTTTGCTATCCAATGATTGAATGTCTGCTAATAAAATATTTTTCAACTCCTGGAAGGACTCTGGGAATTTTAGGAATACATCCTCATGATATTTGTTATACAGTGATCCCTAAGGTTTTTGGTCTTTCCTCTTCTATCACTGATGAGAGAAGCTTAGTTAATAACCACACTGGTTAATTCAAACCCACTTTTTCATTGATTAAACCACCACCAAAAGTTCGGCCTTTGCTTATTGTTTGCTAAATTACTATCAAGATAATCTATTTAAATTTTACTTTGAGTGAAGTGAGCACTGGCATTCCTTGGCCATGGTAGAATAAACCAACCCCACTGGATTCTAAGTAACCAATCTCAAGAGACTATCATCCTCATTTCTTGGAAACTTCCTGGAGGTGACTTAAATAAAATACTTAGTTTATGTACTGTGTTTAATTGCACTGATAAGCTCATTTCTAGGTTTGTGTGATCAGTGGCCAGTTTCAAGTGTAACAGTTCATGAAAATCCCTCTGCAAATATCACTGTAGCTTTTATTCACCCTCTCTGACTTCAGGGTTATACTGTCCTCCCACCCCCAAATAATGGATATTAGTATAAAGCAAGCTGTACTTACCAGCTTTCTGGGAAAATATTTTTAGGATATAGTAAAGAATCCCAGGAGAGTGGCCTGGCCTAAATTTCACCATCAAGTTTACCTTCCACCTGGAATAGGATGTTGCTATCAGAGGAGGTAGCATGGAGAATCGGGCTGCCCAGGGTATGGAATGTTCTAAGTTACGGGGACGACTGATGATTATGCACTGCTTGTTTTACTGAGAACAGGATACTGTCTTCAGAAGATGATGCTGCCAAGGTCTACATGTTAGGTTCCAGTTTGGGCAAGGGGGCACACTGTGTGAGAAACCCCAGGAGAAAAGTGTTAATTGGTCTAGACACCCTGGGCAGAGTTATTTTTCAAGGAACCCTAGAACTGTAGGTAAATGAAGTTTTCAGACACCCCTTGAATTGTGTTTGAATCTTATTTCAAACTTCCTCCTTAAAGCCTGATTTAAGTTAATTGGCTAAAATATGCTTCTTTCTATAGTTGAAGAGTCATTAAAGTGTAGTGAGAAGAGAAATAAATTAAGAGATAGAGGTTTGACTCCAGGTGGAAAGTATGAAACAGTAAGCCCTAGATAATTCAAAGAGGTCTAGGCCCAGTGTTCATGTACCAAATATATGAAATTGGGCACAATCACAAGCCCTCTGAGCCTGAATATCTTTGTAGGTGAATTTGGTTTGGTAATTCCTATACTCTAGGATTATTGCAATGTATAAAAATATATGAAGCTCATGGAAAAATGCCCAGAGTATCTTAGGACTTTATGAACAGCAATACTTGCCTTGATTATGTTGAACCCATATCCTTCCACACTCAGAGACAAGTGTTCCTCAGCAAGTAAAAATTCATAAAATATTTCTGTTTGGTATTTGATTTACGTGTATCTGGTGACTTCAATGGTTGGATATAATTCAAATGTAGGAGTACAAATTGTTCCCCTTACTGACACAAGACCTTTGATCTAACCCCCATTCCTTCATTCGAGGAAAACATTTAACTGAAAAATTCATGTGAACTGCTCACCCCTTACTCATGTCTTGTTTTTACTTGTCCTCTAAGGAATACAAGATCCTGTCATCATTCCTATGATATTATTGTTCTTATACTAAAATTCTATGGGGACATCCTGAGTCCTTTTAATCTTAACATCTCCATTATGACCCAGTACTTCCAAACAGCAAGTTTTCAGTTCAGGTTTTGGAATAAATGAACCAACGAGCATGGTACTGATTTTATTTAGATTTATTCCCATTATACCCTAGAAAGGGCTAAGCAATACATGTATAAGCCATCAGAGTTTACACAAAAAGAGGCTGAAAGAAATAAGCCAACATTGAATCTTTTAAAATTTATTTCTTACAATTGATAAAAACTATATGAAACCCAAGTTCTTTCAAATTACCAAAGAAATTTTTAGAGAAATGCACCTTATCCATGTTATACTTCAGATCACAAAATAAATGTATGGTTTCCAAGTATGTTTTAAAAGGTGTCAAAGGACATAGTACTCAACCATGTAAAACTGCATTAAATGTATGACCAATATCATTTGCAACTTAAGAGATTTCAAAGTGAAGCATTATCAAACAACATTTGAATGATAAAAACATCAAAAAATAAAAGAACGAATTATCGATTTATGCACACAAAATAGGAACACAGGGATGATATATTCTTTTCCCTTCAAGCCTACGTTTTCCCTGGAGCCATACACTCTTTCAGCACTAAACACTGGCCTTGAACACTACATGAAGGAGCTATTTCTGACTTCACTAGATGCTGGAGGAGCTGCCACCCATGGCACTGGAACTGGCAGTGGCCAAGGAACTAGAGGCAGACTGAATTGAAATTCTGGCCAGTGCTCTCTCCTCTTCTTCTAGCAGAGCTTCCTCATACTGAGCTGAGAAATCACGTGGGTCGGTTCCATGAACCTTGGCCAAAAACTCGAGGACTTTCATCTTGCTGGTTTCGGCATGGGCTCTTGGGCCCCACTGGAACTCATACTGCACTGGATCACTGTTGGCCACCTGGTGGTACTCCAGGTACTTTTCACTCACAAAATCGTGGGCGATGAGCTGCCTGGCATCCCCGAAGATGAAGTGCTTCTGATCACGATGGATCCCCATCATTTTCAGCACATCCCAGATCTCCTCTTCAGTGGCACGGTTACCCTTCATGAAGATCACACTCAGCATGAGTATCAGGAGCCCGGTCTTGGGTATATTCTCTTCATCACTCAGCATCCCATTGTAGGTGAGGCCCAGCTTGATGGAGAGGCCATAGCATTGGTTGATGGGATCCATTTCCTTCACATCAAGGCCAAAGACCATCTCCAGGCGCTCAGAGGCCCGCAGGAAGATCTCACAGAAGCGGACCTCATCATCTTCCATGATGAACTTCAACATATCTGCCTTTCGGACTGGCTCTTTCATTTGATACTTGAGCAGCAGGAAATTCACCAAGAAAGCCACTTTCTCATCCAGAGCACTTTTGGGCACATGCTCGGGGTCTGCCGCCATCGCTGAGGTGTTTGGAACACTCTCCTCTTCTTTGCTACCAGAGCCTTCACTGGACTGGATCAAAGAGGGGGCCATAACGGCAACAGGAGAGGAGCAGGAATTCTGAAGATCCTCAGGAGTGCTGGGTGTGCTGGGTGTTAGAGCACCAGGAGCCTCACTCAGGTTGCCAGGCATCAGAAGCTGGGAGGAGGAGGTAGAGGGCGCCTCCACAGCCCCTGACACCTGTGCAACCTCTGGGCCCTGGATCTCACTGCGGATCTGAAGGTCTTCACCATGGGTGCCTTCTTGACTCTTCTGATGCCCAGGCATGACAATTCCTGTGATTGGCAGTAGGCAGAAGTTCAGAAGGATGAGTGTGCAATGGAGAATCACAGCCTAAGGGATAGAGAAAGGTATCAGTGTCAGCTGATAAACTGGACTGAACTGGCTCTGATGGAATGGAATGAGAGTGGATTTTCCCATGAATGGTGCTGTGAAGACCCACAAGCCTGTCATGGTATCTGGGTCCATCAAGAACCTGAAGGTGGAAGTGGGACTCCTCCTCGGGGGAAAGCTAGAGAATCCTCAGGGTTCTGTTAGATAGTTACAGTTAAGCTCTATAGAACCCATTCTGTTCTAAACATAGTGCCACCCGTTAATGGCCACAGGGCCATAATTTTTTATTTTATTTTATTGGTACCTTTTAGTTACACAGGACAGTAAAATCCATAAATTTGAAATGCTATAAGGCTCGTGCCACTTCCTCTCTGATAGTCTGAGCCTGCCCTTCTAAGACCAAAGTCATAACTCTTAAGTCAATTGAAGAGGAGTGGAGGTATGTCCCCAAGAACCCCCAAATGAATGTTCCCATAGCTGACAGCAGGGGCTAAATTCTGTGGACAGGTGTGGGTGGTCTCCTGAGTTCTCAGATGCCTTTCTTTGAATCCAAGCATGTCCTCAGGTACCATCTATTTTTACTAGATGTTACTCATCACATTGAAGCCTCTAATTCTCCTCCAGGAGGAGGTAAGGTATCACCTTTGTCTAAAAGTGTTGTTCTTGGGCTGGCATTGTGTCTTAGCGGTAGAGCACTGGCCTAGCATGTGTGAGGCCTTGGGTTCAATCCTCAGTACCACATACAAATAAATAAATAAAATAAAGATTGTGGGTCTAACTACAGCTAAAAAATAAATATTAAAAAAAATAAATAAATAAAAAATGTTGTTCTTGGATCCGGTCACCGACAAGAACAGGGCTGGGCTCTTCATGAGTCCTACTCTTCACTCAAGATATCCTTGTCTTGGCTACCTCATCCCCAACCACTGCACTACTAATTACTTCCCAATGGTGTCCCCTCCCCCACAGTGACGGCTCATCTACAGGTCACACTGGAGATGGAAGTAATATATACGAATATACCCAGTATCTTCACCTGGACTCCCTTGAGGCACAAGAGCCCTTTTTCGGCTGAGGTGACACTGCCTATGTCATACTAATACCCCACCATCCTCATACTCTGGAGGCGAAGTCACTTGGCCCCACTTCTACTTTGTTCCCCCGCTGCTGCCCCCACTTCCGTCCACCCCTCCAGCTTCCTGTCACCCCCCCTTACCATATCCTTCCCTCACACCACTGCCCCCCTCCCCCCGCTTCCCAAGCCTGATGTATTGTGGGTCCACCATTGTTCTGCCGCAGGTCAACCCCCTCAGTACACACTCATGGGGTCTTAAGTAATTGCATGCCTGGAGATACATCCCCCTACCAAACTAGGCCTTCGCCTCAGACCACCCAGGAGGAAGCATGGCATAGGTTCAACTGACTGCCCTGACCACGGCCTCCCCCCACTGAATGCTGGAGCTGGACTCCGATCCCTCGGCATCTCTCTGTTTTGTACCACGGGGTCCCTTCGGCCATTATTTAGTCTTACCTTCACACCCAGCAGCACCTGGGACCACCTCTCTTTCCCCCTTCTGACTGGAAGCCACTGGTCACTGGACTCACCACCTGAGGTGTTCCTCAGAGCACGCGGCTCAGGGAAGAGGAAGCAAGCTGATGTCACATCCGGCATTCTCTACACACCACCCCCTCATGCTTGGGGTCTCCCATGGCCCACAGCAGGGGTGAGGCTCTGAGCAAGCGCATGGCATCCTTCTTGGGGTTTGCGGTTGCTTCTTGCTGTGGCTGACTCTGCCAGGTCCTGGGAGTTCTGTCTCTGCTGAGGTGAGCTGTGTCCTTCATGCCAAGGTCCTCATCCTTCAGAATCCTGTGGCCTTTCGTGTGTCAACAGGCTAAGAGGAGGTACTGTCAAGGCTTTATGATACTGTTTTTTTCAGCTCCGTTATTTTTTAGTCGTCATTGATAGGGACTTCAATTTGATTCCGGGCTTCCTAGAAATGCCACCTCCACCTCCTGTGAATCTTGACTAATTTATTTATTTTAGCCCTTGTAGACCTTGTATTAAGGATCTGTCCCAGCCTTGATGTGTGATCGGGAAATAGTAGCACCAGGAAGGGAGGAACCAGGACAGGTGATGCAGTTTCACAGAAAAAACAAACAAACAAACACAATAGCATATTCATAAGAAAAATAAATTGAATTAGATAAATGACAAATGAAGAAGGATAATATATGTTGAAAATGTGAGAATCTCTATATATTATGTTATATAATCACAATAGATCACACCTCTGAAAATCCTAAATGGTTTTCTCTTATAATTTGAAAGTAAATTTATTTTTCTTTTTCATGGTACTAGCGAGTGAACCCATTTTTTTAACCTCTCAGCTATGTCTCCAGCCATTTATTTATTTATTTATTTATTTTAAAATTTTGCCACATAGCCTTGCTCAGTTGCCCAGACTGACCTTATACTTGTGATCCTCCTGCTTTGAATCTGGAGTTACTGGGATTACAGAGGTGCATCACTGCTTCCAACTTGAAAAAAGTAAATTTTTAACAGTGGAAGTTGTGTAAGAGGTAAGGTCTGGCCAGGTGTGGTGGAACATACCTGTGATGCCAATGTCTGGGTAGGCTGATGCAGGAGGGTAGAAAATTGAAAGCCAGTCTCTACAACTTAGGCTCTGAGCAGGTTAACCAGATCCTGTCACAAAATTAAAAAAAAAAATATATATATATATATATATATATATATATATATATATATATAGGACTGGACATGTAGCTCAGTGGTTAAGTGCCACTGGATTTAATCCCCTATAAAAAACAAAAGTTAACATCTTGTGGTTATTGGTGTCATATGCCTATATTCCCAGTTACTTGGGAAGCTGAGGTGGGAGCATCTTGAGTTCGAGCCCACCCAGGGCAATTTAATGAAACCCTTTCTCTTTCTCATTTTTTTTTTTTTTTGGTCGTGCTGGGGATTGAACCCAGGGCTTTGTGCATGCAAGGCAAGCACTCTATCAATTAAGCTATGTCCCCGGCCCAATGAAACCCTTTCTCAAAATAAAAATGAATACATCTTGCTATGTAGTTCTATCTGTACATCATTTATACTTATTCTTTTTGTGTTTAACCCTCAGTACCCTAAACAAAACACAAAGAGAATAGGTATAAATGATGAAGAGATAGAATAGAGAAACTTTTTGTGTGTGTGTGAAAGTGTACTTCCTGTCCTTAGCCTTGCCTTTCTTCTGCTGCATCTTCACCATTTGACATCAAGACTGGGGAAGATTGCCAGTGCAAGGTATACAGCGGTTGCAGTAAATAAATTAGTGAAGATTTCCTAGGAGGCAGAGGTGGCATACTGAAAAATGGAGGTGGTAGTATACATCATTTTGTTTGTGTTCTATCTTACTGTAGTGGCAATTCTGACATTTCACATTTATAAAATTTTAATTTATTATTTTACTCATTTTTTTCAGTTGACATGTAGTATTTGAGAAGCATTTATGTCATTCTATAGTTGATTTTCTGTAAGTTTTTACCATGAAATATTGTTGATTTTTTTGTTCATTCTATCTTATACCTCTGGATATTATGAGTTTGTCCTCTTGTCTGTTATGTTTGAATTGCAATTAGATATCTTCTTTTCCTTCATTTACCAAGCCTATTTATTAATTTACTTTACTTTAGTATTTAATATACTATGAATATACTTATAGTATTTCCCTAATTGTGAGTTCTTTTCTTGGAGTACCTTTACCTAGTTTTCCCATCAATAAATGTTATCTTAAGATATTTTGAGTGGTTTCAAATCTTTTTCTGGTCTTTTGAATGAATTTTTATAAGATACTTATTGCTTTTTCCCTGAATATATAGTTCAGTTGTTTTTCAAAACTAAAACTTTTGAGTATGGTTTGATATGTAAGTAAATTTTCAGTTTGTGTTGTTTGATTATTTTCTGTTTTTATGATCCTATTTGGTTATTTATATTTTGCTAAAATTGATCCATTTTACTTATATTTTCAAATTAAAAGGTCCGATATTTCTAGCTACATCATTTATTTTACAAACTCTCAAACACAAGTAGTATCCCAGAACAGTACAATGAACTCAATATACCTTATGCTCCACATACTGTCAATAGTTTTGTTAATATCTTTATTTTGTTTATTTATTTTTATGTGGTGCTTAGGATCGAACTCAGTGCCACATATGTGTGAAGCCAGTGCTCTGCCACTGAGCCACAACCCCAGCCCCTATCAATAGTTTTGTGTAGCAGTTTGTTCAGATGAGGACTTGGTTCATTATTTGGCAAAACCCTTCCAGAGATGGTTCTTAATATTTACATTTTGTGTCAGTAAGGCTTGTGTGTCTCCCTTTTTGGTGATATTAGCTGTATTAAAGATTGTGGTCTGCATCCATTATCTATTAGAGGCTCTACAATCATAATTTTCTCATTCCATCATTCCTTCTTAGTTTATTACCTGAAATTTTACTATAGGTAGAAAGCTTTCTTTATGCATTACTTGGTCATGTTGAGGTTATAATATATATTTATGTTATATTTAAGTCTTTTCTGCATCTATATTTTATACAGTAATATTGAACATAATTTTTATTTCTGTTTATATCTTTTTGATTAATATATTATTAAGCTACATGTTGCATAATTTTTTCTTATAATTTGAAAAAAATGACAACATTTTTGGCCCTATGGACTCTAATCTCCAACTTGTGCCTCCTGTTGTAAAACAGGATGTGGAGATTCTATGAATTGAGAATAAGATCCTTTACAGAGTGGAGATTCTATGAATTGAGAATCAGATCCTGTACAGAGTAGAGAACTGAGCAGAGCAAGAGTGAAGAATGGATCTGAAGATAGGTCTAGGTCTGGCGTAGCACATGAACAGATTAAATGAGAAGAACCATTCAAAAATTGATAGATAATAGTGATTCATAAAAGTAATAATATTAGGGGCTGGGGTTGTGGCTCAGTGGTAGAGTGCTTGCCTAGCACAGGAGAGGTCCTGGGTTCGTTCCTCAGCACCACATAAAAATAAATAAGTAAAATAAAGGTATTGTGTCCAACTACAACTAAAAAATAAATATTTTTTAAAAAGTAATAATATTAATTTATGATAAAAGGTACTTTCTTAAACTAGATCAAGGATGTCTGCAAAATAAGCCTAGAGTGAAAAATCATACTTTACATTGAAACATTAAAAACATTTACATTAAAATTGGGAAGTAGGTAAAGATGTCTGCTATCAACATTTTTATTCTCCATTTTAAGGAAGATAATAAAGTAATAGTAAACAAATGTAATTAAAGAGATAGTAACTGGAAAATTAAAAAAAATGCTGTTATCATTAAACATTAATTGACTATATATTTGAAAAATCTGCTTAAAAAACTATTAAAATAATGAAAGCATTTTAAAAATTGCCAGGTTATAAGAGCATACAAACATGCACTATTTTCTGTAGCAATGTAGAGTATGAAGATGAAATTGAATAAAAATAACTTCTAAATTACCATTATATGTCTTATATCTAAAAATAAATAGAAAAACCATAAGAACTCTATAGAAGATTTGTACATCTACTATTTAGAGAAAATATTAATGTTCTAATTAATTGGAGAAACATTAGTTATTAATTTAATCTGCTGATGACTTTCATCCCTTCCATAACATTATATAGGATTTTTGTTTTTGCAAATGTGTGTGTGTGTGTGTACATTTTATCAAATAATTTAAAAAATATAAATTAACTCACAAATAGCTAAGAATAGCCAACATGCTCTTTGAAGTATATAAAGAGATGTTATAATACATAGGAGTTTGTGGTAAAAGATGAAGACATAGTCAAAATAAAAGCATAATAAAATATTCCAAAACCATACATTGGTTCCTGACTAATTTAAATATACTACTGCAGAGAACTGGGGGAAAGAATAGTCTTTTACTAAGAAATGACAATGGAATAATTTGATATCCATATTATAAACAAAATATTACTTAAAACTTTCCTTACACATGACACAGAAATCAATTCCAGTGCATTAGAAACCTACTTTTCAGTTAATTACTATGATAAATTTCAGTTACATTACAGAAGGGAATAGCAGATTGTCAGAAAAATGAAAAAAATTCACATAAATTAATGTTTATTCATGAAAAGAAGATATATTGTCAAATTAGACAAAGAATATGCATAAAACACAATATTATACTTAAATGGTTAAATGGAAACATTGAGAATTTTACATTAAAATTGGGTTGAAGACAAGGATATCTGTTATAACCATTTCTAGTACCCCCCTCTATATGTATGTACAATTTTTTGTACATATTTGTACATTGTTAGTATCAGAGATTGAACCCAGAGGTGCTTAAGCACTGAGCCATGTCCCCAGCCCTTTAAATTTTTTTTTTTTTTTTTTTTTTTTTTTTTGAGACACACTGTCACGAAGTTGCTCGGAACTTCCCAAAGTTGCTGAGGCTAGCTTTGAACTTGTGATCCTCCTGCCTCAACCTCCTCAGGCATTGGTATTATAGGCGTGCACCACTGTGCTCAACTCTAATCGATATTTTGATGAAGACACTATATAGGGAAGTAGAAAGGAACAGAATGGATCAAAGAGATCATGCCTGGAAAGTATGAT